ATAGACTAGAGAAGTTTTTATAAAATCCGAAGATCACTATCTCTTTTTAAAAAAAATTATAGCCATGTAAACTTAAATGTTCAGTCCATTTTTAACTTTTCGGAAAACATCAAAGCTGAATAAAAAAAACCTAGATGATATTTGCCAGTAAATTTAGGTTTGATGCAACCCTACATCAATGCACGTCAAAACAAAATATTTACTTTGAGGCTACGTCTAGTAGTCTTTTTCGAAATTAAATGATGCGATTTGGGTATTTTGGTGAAATTACTAAAAAAATTAATTTAAAAGTAGCCGCCTGGCATGGAACATATTATGGGGGCTGAAAATATAGGAAATGACCCATTCTATCCGCCGAATCATTTTGGCACGCGATGCGCCAAACACCCTGTATAAGCGTCTTAACGACTTTGCTCAGAAGGCGCATTTTTAAAGCTTCCGGCGCTTTAATTTGTACAAGTAACCTCACAAAGACTAGGTAGGTATAGCCTGACCAGGAACATAAAAACCCTGGCACAGAGGCGCTTCAATTGCATTTGATAGTGCAACACTGAGTACAGTCGTACATGTGTTAAATTAATAGGCTAAATTTATGTATCAGGATTCAGGATTACGGGCTAATTTGATATTTTCATAAATTAACGAAAAATATTATTAAAGATAACCTGGTTTAAATAAATTAAATGAAACCATCAATCGAGCTAGTAGGATTTATTTTATTATTCGTCAATAATCAAATTCAGAACATGGATATTCAACTGCAATGTCTGCTCATGAACGCTTCAAACTCGGTACTTCTTTCCCAATTCCATAAAATTCAAAACTTAGAAAGTGACAAAAAACTTTAAAATAGGTAGTTGAAACAGACTACAGCTAATTTTCATAGTGGACTGTACCATACGATAAACATGTCAGTCAATTTGACAACCTTTGTCGGAAACATTATTCAATGAAAATATTGTCCGAACCCTTAGTATTTCTCTTCGACAAATACATTAACACATCGTGAACCACTTTTCTTTCACGACTATAAAAATATTTTAGCAATTTAATTCACAAAATCAATTGCACACATTTAAAATAAAGTTTGTTTACACTTTGACAACAATAGACTGACATGCAAGGTGACATGTCAATGAAGTTTTCAGTTATTGTTGCCATTAAAAGAAATTAGTACCATTAGATTTCCGCAACATGGCGAGGGTTTTTATGTTCCTGGTCAGGCTATACACAAATTCCTAAACAAATTATTTATACGAATATCAATATGTAAAACTTAATAGTTAACTAACTTTACTTCCAAATGTCTGCATGATACTGCAAAGATTGGTACGAAGTAAAAATTGGTACGCTTCCAGCTTGGACCAATTTGAAAGTCGATAAGGCTTTACTAATTTCGGGACCATACTTTTCGAGAACATTGCTCGTTTTGATACTGCTTCATTTTAAAAAAAAAGTCTTTTACTTTGTATACTTCTCTATATGAAATAAAGGTAAAGGTATATGTGTCTGCTGTACTCTGTATTAACATGATCCTACTATTCGGCAGCTCATAGTTGTCTTTAACCGAACGTCATACCAAAATATGGGTTACCGCCTGTCCCTAATTACTGATATCTATTGACATTAAAAGGACTCGTTCCCACTTCCCACTTCGCCTTCCCTTGTTTCGACGGACACCGTATCCGGGCCGTAGGCGTTCACTTAAAGGCAGTTCCGGCCGGAAAACTAACAAGTTCTTAGACTGGCTCGAATTAGCTGAATCTGCCGGACTAGTTGCAAACGTCTAAGGCTGGTTATAGAGTCACGCTGACCGTCAGCGCTGACAGCCGAAAAAATGAAGCGTCGGCGCCGAGCGATCAGCGTCACACAGGAACGTTCCCTTCAATTAGAAAGAAAGAAAGAAAAATTATTTATTTGACAACTTAAAAAAAAACAAAGGGCAATATAAAAATACAATTATAAAAAATAAAAAAAAGTACAAAGACAATGAAGATGGTTTTCAGTGGGTACCTTGTACGCAGGGGCAAAAGAATGTAATAAATTAAAAAATATACATATTGATCTGTCAGCGCCGACGATCAGTGAGAGCGGTCAGCACGATTCTAAAACCCGCCTAAATCTACATATAAGTAGATACTGCCCATGTTATATACCAACATGGAGCAATATTAAATTTGAATTTGAATAAAATGGAATTTACTTGTCGTTTTCAACCGACTTCAAAAAAGGAGGAGGTTCTCAATTCGACCCGTATGTTTTTTTTTCTATGTTTGTTACGCGATAACTCCGCCAATTATGAACCGATTTGAACAAATCTTTTTTCGGCGTATAGGTAATACCTCAAGGGTGGTCCCATTTAAATTTAATAATAAAAAAACAACCCCCAAGGGTGGAAAATTGGGGATGAACTTTTTTATACGCAATATCTCCGCCGATTATAAACCAATTTGAACGATTATTTTTTTGTTGAATAGGTATTATCAAAAGGGTGGTTTCATGCAATTTGAAGAAAATATTTTCACCTCCAATGGTGGAAAATTGGGGATGAACTTTTTTATACGCAATATCTCCGCCGATTATGAACCAATTTTTTTTGGTCTCAGTGTACTGCCTACCTTCAGTGGTAACATCAAGGTAATAATTAGTTAACTAAAAAGCAAGAAATAAGTAAAATTTTATTTAAAAAAATAAAACCGACTCCAAAAAACCTACACTAAAACGGTGCAGGCAAACTTTACATGTTTCATAATCTTGGCACCGACTCCAGAAGTATCAATCATGGTATACCTACATAAATATTAATAATTCGTCCTAATAAATAAGTAGGTAATTAGTAATTATTTTTCTACGTTTTAGTGTAGGTTTTTTGGAGTCGGTTTTATTTTTTTTTATAAAATTTTACTTATGTTTCATAACCAGCTACGAAAATGGTTTATGTTTTCTCTGTTAATAACTTATTATTTATTCATAATAATTTTTATCCACTTTCGTAGCCGAGTTTCATAACCTGGATCTTAACATTATTTAACCGAAAATAAGAATTAATTTTTTCTTGGGCACTTAACAAGTACAACACAATTTTGTTAGCATTGTGTTGTACTTGTTATTTTATTAAAAACTAGCCTTGCGCCGGCTTCGCCCGCGTGGAATTTCGTTTGTTTAATTTTCCTGAATTTTCTTTGCTATAAACCTCACGGAGCCCGAGACCTTTCCAACGAATGCAAAACCGTGGAATTCGGTTCGTGCGCTCTGGAGTTATAGCGTCAGGAAGGAAAACCCGACTTATTTTTATATAGTAGATAAATATATTTTCTGAGCTTATGAATGTGTTTAAAGTCAAAGAAGGCAGGAAATATTATCTTGTTTACCCTTGTAAACCATAATTCCCAATATATCAGCACTAGATGTTATCAAATATCAATAACAGATATAGGTAACTCTGTTTTAATAAAAAAAAGTTAGGAACAGAGAAAATAAACATTTACGTAAACTCAGCTACGAAAGTGGATAAAATATTTATTAATTAATAACCAGTTATGAACAGAGAAAACATAAACCATTATCGTAGCTGGTTATAAAACATAGTTACATTAACGACAAGTAAATTCCATTTTCATAACTGGTTATCAAGCAAGAAAAAATAGCCATGTTCGTAACTGGTTATCAAATTTCAGTTACGAACATGGACTAAAGGCTTTCCTCTTTACCATCATCCAACGGTACGATCGTCTGGTCAACATCCTGAGTCGTTTATCTAATGTAAATACCCAGTGGATTATTTAACCGCTTCCTACAGTAAAGGGAACCGCTGTACAACTTTAATAATGCTTCTATTTACTTTATAATAAAACACTAGGAAATGGAAAACCAGCAGATGACTTTTTAATTTCACAGTTAGGTATAGTAGTAATGCAATGTAGAGAACCATTTTAAGATTTTTTACCCGACTACGGCAAAGCAAAAGGAGGGTTATGATTTTGACAGGCTATGTATTTTAAGTTCTTGTCGTGAAATAAAAACGTGTGTGTAGGTATTGCCACAGTATTACGTTCTCGGCAACACTCAAACTTACATTTTTACTTTGATGTGCAAGTTATGTTGGAAGTGTTACAACCACAGTAAAGTAACATAAGTAGGTCTCCACAAATACCAATACAAAGTTATCAAACTTGGTAGAAGCTTAATTTGATCCCTTTCACAATCACCATGATTGTATTCGTTTTAAAATAAAGCTCATTGGTTAGGCGATAAAATGCCAAGTAAATTCATTCTGAGTTAGATTTTCCTTTCACAATTACCATGCTTATAATCATTTTAAGAAAAACCCTTTTGGCTAACCTGTTCGGGGTTACTGCGAACGATTTTACTGCGAAGCCTTCTTTATTTGACTTAGCAGATAGATAAAAAAAATGAAATTACACACATACATACATAGAATAAAGTGGGCGGTACAAAATTATAGATGAAATAAGATTATAAATACATTACATTTTATTTACTTATTACATATATTTAACAGTTACATCCTTGATTAAATAACATAAGAATAGAAACATAAATATAAATAAATGAATAAGATGCCAAGTAAATTCTCATAGTCGGTGCATTAAAATACCACCCCCCCTAGTCAAAACGTACTTTTTGATCGAATCGAAAATCGAATCCGTCAAAACTCCATACAAAAAAGGGGCTTTTCGACCACTTTTCGACTGGTTTGCGATTAAAATTTGCACTTTGTCTAGACCCACAGATTTAAGTTCATTTACTATTCTATTCAACTGTGGTAATAAAGTTGCCAATAACAACCTACGCGTCGATCGTTCTTCAAGTATAGGCAATTAGTGAAAATGGCGCCACTCCTTGCCGATCCATCACCGGAATACTTTTACGAAGAACTCATCAATTGTTGTCTCAAATAACCTATCTTCGATACACAAGGAAAATGTCGAAAAGAATCTCGTGCACAATGCGGTAGTATTGAATGGATTTACCCTGCAATGGGGTGAGGAAAATTAGATCAATTGAATAGTCAGGCGTGATTTCGTATGCGAAATTATTTATCATAAAGTAATTTGCAACTAGGAACTCATGACTAATCAGAAGTCATGGGTTCCAATACTCAATAATTTTGTTACATTCCTTAAGTTACAAATGTTTTACAAGTTTAAATATAATTAACTAGCTTTCCGCCCGCGGCTTCGCCCGCGTGGAATTTTGTCTGTCACAGAAAAACTTTATCGCGCGCGTCCCTGTTTCAAAAACCGGGATAAAAACTATCCTATGTTCTTTCCCGGGACTCAAACTATCTCTATGCCAAATTTCTTCAAAATCGGTTGCGAGGTTTAAGCGGGGAAGCGTAACAGACAGACAGACAGACAGACAGACAGAGTTACTTTCGCATTTATAATATTACTAAGTTGGGATAGGTACTGTGTGAAATTTTTTGTGTCGTGTCCAATAGAGTTTGGAATGTTCACATACAATTTTTCCTGTACTTCATTATTTTTTTAATATAAGGGTACATCCCCCCTTCACCCCTGAACTCTGCTGAACTCCGAAATACAGTCACGTGTTATGTAGATAACGTGATTCAATTTGTTAATTATTGTCAAGTTTTATACATATTCTTAAACTCATTTTATTTATCTAAATATAAGATGAACTCTATTTAGATCAAAGTAGACACGTGCTTTAAAATAGCAAATAAATAATATTCTAACCACAGAGTATACTTACCTATACAAATTAGAGCAATGTGATTAGATATCGGACATATTTTAGCACATTAGGTCATAGTCTTCAATGACAGACATAATTACCATTTATTTGTACTTAAGGCACTTGGTATTTGTTCATCTCAACCAATAATGAACATAAAATGCCTTATTGTTCCTCATTACACCCTCATCGGTTCCCGGAACAATTCTGCCTTCCTTTATGAACTGTAGGTATATTCTTCAGGATAAAGTCCTATAAGGGATCCCGGCCTTTTATCGTTTTCAGGGCGCTGATAACGACCCAAGAATCAAAAGAATGATTCAGGGGAAAGGAAAACATTAGGAAACTCATTAAATTGTGTTTTTAATGGCTTTACATTTGTATTGAATATGTGTTCGTTTCTAAGAGTGTTGACTAGGCTTTGGACCCCATTGATAACGCTTTAATCGAGGTAGGATTTCGGTCCACAACCTCAGTTATGTAGAACTTTCGCCGGTAAAGGAAAAACCAACGGCCCCTGTTCTGTTATGTTACCGGACCGGTGTAAACAACCGGTAAATTACACTCTCACCTCGTATGCAAATAAATGATTTCATTTGATTTGTATTTGCTTCATTCTTCATATGAACACAAAAGATTTCAGTTTCCTATAACTAAACGAGTCTTTAAAACGGCCTAAACTAGATCATGAGTAATGACTTTTTTGGTTATTAATTATGGATTCTTCTATTCGTCTACACCAATAATGCTGAAGCGATGTCCTTATTTTTTTTCAAACCCACATATTTAAAATCTTCCTTGTCATGTCAGACAACAAAAAAAAATTTAAACTCTGCTTCCCCGACTAATTTGGCAGCCGTAAAGTGTAGGGCAAATTTTCTATGCCTCTTCATTTTCTTGCCTCTGGTAAATCAAACATCATCATGCTGCTGCAGTGGAGATCAAATGATTATGAGCCATATTAATTTCCACTATTGTTCCAGGTACATGATAGACCGTCCGTCCGCCACGCGCGTGTCAGTGCGAGTGCAAGATCTGCTGTTCGCCATGGCCGTTTCCAACTCCTGCATGAACCCGCTGGTGTATGGGTCCTATACCCTGGACATCCGCGGCGCCGTGCGACGGTTCCTCAAGAACACCTGCTGCCGGTCTACTTCAGCGTCGGACACTATAGGTACGTGCTTGAGGCACTTAAATAACCTGGTACACCACCAGTCTTAAATATTGAGCACTTCGCGTGCAAGACTTGCTGTTCGCCATGGCCGTCTCCAACTCCTGAATGAACCTGCTGGTGTACGGTTCCTATACCCTAGACATCCGCGGCGCCGTGCGACGGTTCCTCAAGAACACCTGCTGCCGGTCTACTTCAGCCTCGGATACTATAGGTACTGTTACCAGCAGGAAGCCCTGAATAATCTGTACACTCGCCATATTATGAGCTATTACTAAGTAACTATAAGCGGCCCCGCGCACTAGGCAGCCTGCCAGACTGTGGCAGCCAGTCGAACATATTATTATGACTGTGTTTGAGAGTCCTCGCACTAGGCAGCCAAGGGTGTTCATATACCGGATTGGCTGTCACAGCCAGGCTGCCTAGTGCGCGAGGTTGCTTAATAATATACAAATACTGTAGCAGACAAAAATAAAGACTAACCCCTTTTGCACTTATATTTTCATGTTAGGTTACAATTTAGGCATAAGTACTGCCAATAGTAACCAAGTTTCTTTAAGCCTTCTTTCTTCTCATTAGTAGCAGATAAATCCCAGACATTTTTGGAACGCGGATGAGTGGAAGCGGAAGTGGGTAAAAAGAAAATATTATGAATATTTCAAGTTAAGAACCGCGAGGAAACGCTTCTCTGTTATTCAAATATGCTTACGCAAACATTCCAGTGAAGATTTATATTATTTGCTAACGTTTTATTTTGTTAACTAACTTTCCGCCCGCAGCTTTAAAGTATCTCACGATCAAAGTCAAATACACTTTTATTATAAAAACCTCGTAACTCATGCAAGGTACGAACTTTCATAATATGAACGTATGAATAATTGAATATTTTTTTCAGGTAACTCCGGATCAAGCTCTACCAAAAAGAACGTGGCGCCTGAGACACCACTGGTAACGCCTCTTAAGGTAAACCCTAATTTAATAACACTGAAGTGAATTACAAAAGTACAGGCCATTCGTCTTCACCAATCCGTACTGGGCATACTAGACGACCTGAACCACTAGGTACCCCACAGTAGGGATGGGAAGTATACAATAGGGGAGTCCGTATATAAAAAAACAGTAAAGAGAATTTGTTTCACCGCTTTTTGTAGAGGAAAAAATCTTTGAATCCCTCACATTGGGGTATTTTTTCAGCTTTTGCAAAACAATACTAACATTCCGCGACATTCAGCGATAGAGCACTTGTCTGATCTCAAAAAGGAGAGTCTACTTCAAATGAAGTTCTTCGGAAATCGACCTGTCATTAATATCAAATAAAAAAAAATCAACTTTGGGAAGAAATGTTGGAATAAGAATTCACACTTAAGTGTGAATTCTTATTCCAACATTTCTTCCCAAAGTTTAACCATTAAACAACTTAAAACGAGAAAAGCATTGTTTAGAACAAAGTTATCAACTCCTAGTTCAAAGTTCTGAAACTAATTTGGAATTATTTATCGCCTATGCCGTTAAGTATTCAATGAAAACATCAGTGTATCTTAATTTTATTCAAAACTCAATTTATGTCTGACTTAAACGAGATCTTTGAAACTTTGTGGAATATTTTAACAGAAGGAGAAATAGTTTTGCATTATTTTCTGTATTCAAAAATAAAAAATAAGCGCACGGAGAGTCCCGTTTGAAACGGTAAAAAACTGTAAAATATTAATTAGATTAAAAAGTACCAAACTTTACATTTACAAAAATTTTATACTGTATCTACTTGTTTTTATGTCAATAAAAAAAAACTGTAATAGGTAACCACGACACGAAGTATACATTAATAATCTGTGCCATAACCCACACTCTACTCTAGTGTTCCGATGGGGTGCGTGTGACATTTTTGTGATAAGAAAGGATTCAGGGAAGGGATCAACTTTTGACAATTCCCATTTTACCCGTGGTTTTGGTGCGAGGCAGACTAGGTTAGACATTGTTTGCAGGATACCCTTATTTATGGCCGTCCTCTTTACACACTAGACACATCAAGAGAAATGACTGGGACCTATACAAATAATTTAAGCTTCGCCCGTACGTTACGGGCTGTTACTGGAACATAGAGAACTACCGGATTGTCCTTTACGGTTTTTCTATCTTATGGGTATAACAAACAAGCAGAGACTGGAACATAAAGCGTGTATTGAATCATCTGTATTTTTTAAATAATCATGTTGCTTCAAGCCCTTATTAAAAAACACAAAGTTTACAATAGGCGTGGTGCTCTAGATATGAATCGAAAACCCTCTGAAATCTATACCTACTAATATTAGAAATGCGAAAGTAATTCTGCCTGTCTGTCTGTCTGTCTGTCTATAGATATGTCTTGCTTTCACGCCTAAACCACTGAAGCGATTTTGATGAAAGGCATAGAGAGTCCCGGGAAAGGACATAGGATAGTTTTTATCCCGGTTTTTGAAACAGGGACGCGCGCGATAAAGTTTTTCTGTGACAGACAATTCCACGTGGGCGAAGCCGCGGGCGGAAAGCTAGTGAGTCATAAAACAGAACTTTCCCTTTTGCAGATAAAATGCCAGATATAGACTATTAGGAAGTTATCTGTCAGATAAACTATGACGTTTGTACCTATAGCGTACCTAAAGAACATCACAACGGACCTGTTATAATGGGTCTTGGGGTCATAACCTTAAAATAAATCCCTTATCACTATACGACATTACTTCTCGCTACGAACGCCCATAATACCTACTCAATTGGAAACTAATGAGATCATCTGCCTTCCAAAAGGAACTCGTTTCAACGTGCCATATTCAAGGTGCGCTTCCGGCCACAAAACCGATGGTCGCATGTGCTCATTATCTCTGTAATTATCTAGTCCCTGACTAAGCAGAGCTTATGTGACTCTACGATGAATTCACTACTTACTTTTATCAAAGCGGGATTTTAAACTTTTGAAAGCTGGTTATTATGAATAGAATCTTGAAGTCATGGGACAAAATCTCTAACCAAACTGATACGTGACACAAGCATTTGTCCTTTGAAAATGGTAAAAATGTAATAACGATATCTGGCAACCCAGAAGCGTTGTATGCTCTATGGCCCCTCTCTATGGCCTCTTTTTCCTACCATTCAAGTGTGTGCACATGGTTGTAAATTATCTTCGCAATAAATAGAATATCACTGAAGTTAAGTGTCTTTTGTACCTGCCGCATCACTCGGTTCAGAAAATAAAATCAGAATTTATTTATTTAGCGTAAGACCACCAAACCCTCAATTAGCTTCTAGTAAAATTAGGGAAGGTAGACCTTGTGACAGGGTAGAGTAGGCAGTGCCCGAAGGGGGTAGATGGGAATAAAGGTTAATAACCTGATGATTAGAATTCGAAGTTGCAGGCACTAAAGCCTGGTCCGTGAGCACGTAGAATCCCGTCCAATGACCCCAAGCTACCCATCCTTATCGCTCGCACGTAATTATGTTGCTGTCGCGCTCGCACACTCACTGCGGGCGCGCGTCGCACAGTCGCTACGGATACGGACCTACGTGCTCACGGACCAGGCTTTACATCATAACAATCTGTTTTCAGAACGGCCGAGTCCGAACCCGGCTTGGCGTGCGTTTCGCCGAGACCTCTCTCACGACCGTCCCGGAGCGGGACGTCCCGCGTCCCATCCGGGCGCCGGCCTGATACCCGCCGCCGCGGCTGCTCTGCGCGCAACACGAGCGCTGCCGGGTGCTGCACGAGTATTACCGGGACAAGCTGCCGGCGCCCGCACAGATATAGCGGGCGGGCGGGTATCGCTACGAAGTGATACAGGCGGCTAGGGTTAGCGTCTGATTGTGGACTTTTGTGGTGAGGCGGATGAAAAGAGTGTGTGGATCTTGCCGGGTGCTGCACGAGTATTACCGGGAAAAACTGCCGGCGCCCGCGCACATTAGCGAGCCCGAAGCTATAGTTACGAAGTGATACAGGCGGCTAGGGTTAGCGTCTGATTGTGGACTTTTGTGTGGATCTTGCTGGGTGCGCAACGTATATTACCGGGATAAGCTACCGGCGCCCGCGCAGATATAGCGGGCGGGCGGGTGTCGCTACGAAGTGATACAGGCGGCTAGGGTTAGCGTCTGATTGTGGACTTTCTGTGGTGAGGCGGATCAAAAGAGCATGTGGACTTTGCAGGGTGCGCAACGAGTATTACCGGGACAAGCTATCGACGCCCACGCAGATATAGCGGGCGGGAGGGTATCGCTACGAAGTGATACAGGCGGCTAGGGTTAGCGTCTGATTGTGGACTTTTTGTGGTGAGGCGGACGAAGAGAGCATGTGGATTTGACGGGTGCTGCACGAGTATTACCGGGACAAGCTACCGGCGCCCGCGCAGATATAGCGGGCGGGCGGGTATCGCTATGAAGTGATACAGGCGGCTAGGGTTAGCGTCTGATTGTGGACTTTTGTGGTGAGGCGGACGAAAAGAGCATGTGGATCTTGCTGGGTGCGCAACGAGTATTACCGGGACAAGCGACCGACGCCCGCACAGATAGTAAGCGCGCGGGTATCGCTACGAAGTGATACAGGCGGCTAGGGTTAGCGTCTGACTATGGACTTTTTTGTTGAGACGGACGAAAAGAGTATGTAGATTTAGCCCGATGCTGCACGAGTATTACCGGGACAAGCTGCCGGCGCGCGCACAGATATAGCGGGCGGGCGGGTATCGCTACGAAGTGATACAGGCGGCTAGGGTTAGCGTCTGATTGTGGACTTTTGTGGTGAGGTGGACGAAAAGAGCATGTGAATTTTGCTGGGTGCGCAACGTATATTACCGGGATAAGCTACCGGCGCCTGCGCAGTTATAGACTCGCGTTTATCCTCGCGTTACCGTTTGATTCAGACTTTTTGTGGTGAGGCAGACGAAAAGAGCACACCTTCTATGCAACTTTCCCCCGGGACAAACTTGACCTTCATTGATTGGGTTTTATTGGCAGTCAAGATGTAGATTCTAGCTACACAGGGGTTGTAGCAGAGAACGAGAAATGGCAATAATCCCTTCTATGTTGTAGGTCAGTAACTTCTATGCCATTATGTTGTGAATAGCCTTGTATGTAAAGTTGTTACTGATAATATGGTAGCCCTTTTGTGCTCTGATATTATGTGCAATTAAGTTTTAACTTAATAAATATCCAGTGAAACCCGAGCCGCGTTCAATTACCCATAGTACCTGTGCTCTTATCGCCTGCCTCTATTAAAAGTGAATATTTTTTAATATAGTCAAAACTAAAAAGTGAAACTTTATATAGGTACATATTGTGGTTGAAAACATTTACATGGAAGGTGCTTTGTGACGAACGATTGATAGTTAGATAGGTATACAAATGGAACTTGAAGAGGTTGCTTTGTAATGTTTGATAAAGTTTCGTATACATTATGAGGGTGTTTTCACCGTAGATTTAATAATTTATGTCTTATCAATGTCTTGTATGAATACATTTTTATTCGTGTGAATTTTCGATAATGTTTTGACAATAAACATTGACATGTTTTATGCAATCCTGCCCCCCTAGACAAAACGCACTTTTTGATCGAATCGGAAATCGAATCCGTCAAAACTCCATACAAAAAAGGGGCTTTTCGACCACTTTTCGACTGGTTTGCGATTGTAATTTGCACTTTGTAAAACGCACTTTTTGATCGAATCGAAAATCGAATCCGTCAAAACTCCATACAAATAAGGGGCTTTTCGACCACTTTTCGACTGGTTTGCGATTGTAATTTGCACTTTGTCTAGACCCACTGTAAAAGGAATTAAGATACTTATCCGGATGCCATTCTGAACCTATTCTTAATCATTTATTCATTATAACACCTCATCTCTCACTAGCACATTTTGATTTGTAAAATTAATGGTAACAAAACAAACTTTACTACTCAGCTATCTGAATTTCAACTAGTTAGACAGGCCCTTTGACACAGAGCTTCACACATAATTTTGCAAATAGGGCTGTATTTGGCTTAAAGACGGCGTGTTAACACTACCCGCGCTAGTTTCAGCTGATAGTGACTAATTCGTTCTTCATTACGCAGCTTAAAAGGCCTAGGGCCAATTTACACTGGCGTAGTATTTATTTGGCGTCTAAAAGCAAAACTATTGAATGGTGTTGATTGGAAGATGGTAGAGCCTGATTTAAATCTCTGGGTCCTATTCTTTAAGTTTTTCGATACATCGAATGATGCTATTATTTTAACCAGTATTGGCTCAATAATAATAATTACAAGCTATGTAATGGAGTTACGTATACTTTTGTTTAAATTTATATTAGGATCCAACCCCATACCTACTCCGCTCTACCCCAGATATTTTGGAAATTAGTAACGTAATAATTACACTTCCATAATTTTAGCTTCGCAAAATCGGGATTTAGTATAGAGCATTCGCAATGTGCAGATGGCTTTATAAACGAATTAATGCGACCATGCCTTCACGCCGCGCCGTCTGCCATTAGGGCGAAAACCGACGCAGCGGGGTTACTCCGAAAAACGTTGTTCGAAGTTTCGAACGTTGCCATCCTTCTCACGCAAAGCGAGATGCCAGCATGTGCGACGGTGACAGATAGACCTAAAACTACGTAAACAGCGTTTCGGGGTAGCCCTGTAGAGCGGCCATTGCGATAGACAAATGAGCCAGCTTAATCACCCCTTTAATGGAACACGTTAGATTCGGATTGCTATCAGAGTGAGATGGATGGCTTTACGAGGAATTTTCGTGGTTCATAAGTTATCAAATACAAAATTTTAGCATTTTACACACATTTTCAAGAGAGTACTGTAACGGGATTATGTAACTTTTTATAAGATAGAACATCATCTTTTTCATTTTTACCAGATATAAATTCATCGAACAAAATGGCACTTAGTCTCCAACTTTTTTTTCTAAGAAATGGCAATGTTTCATACAATAATCGAAGCGCACAATTCCACGAACGTGTGTCTCGCAAACAATGCGTTATGATTGACATCAGAAAATGATAGATTAAAAGTATGGCAAAGAAAAAATTGGAAAACGTAAAAAGCGAACAGTGAATTTCAATTACGGATCGCGACGTCAGGATTCACTTCATTTGTTTTTTTGTTTACCTGTTTGTACCGACAACAACGTAATACCAAACAGACATTGTTTTTGCAAAACCGCCTCTGTTTTAATTACATAAGATTCCACAGTGTTAAGCTTGATGTTCTGTCATCTCTACCAATCGTTTTTTTACTCTGTAAGAATAATATTTTGGTGTGAAAAGTATTCGATCCCTTTTGTACCCTTTGCACCACCGGCCTGCACCACTGGTGGTGCAAAGGGTATTTTTTAATCCCTTTTGCACCACCAATAGTGCCGCCCTACCATTAACTGTAAAACGATTATCTATAATCATATAATATTAATATTATAAAGAGGAAAGATTTGATTGTTTGTACTGAATAGGCTCCGAAACTTGGACAGATTTGACAACATAACATAAAAATTAATAACAACCATTCATACCTACATACAACGAATAATTCCTAAAGTACCAGGGCAACATAATCATAAAGGAGCTATATCAAATTCTTCTTGGTTGATCCGAGAAATAAACATGTATCATAAAATAGCTCCTTTATGGTTATGTTGCCCTGGTACTTTATTCGTTGTATGTAGGATGTAGGCCCGGGGTATCGTGGGTCTGAAGTGAAATGTTTATAGGCACTTACACACACACAAATTAAAACTTTTAGGTAGGTTTTGATTTATTTATAACAAGTAAATTATTAAGTATTTTACAGTCTACTACTAGTTTTACAGTCGATGGTAGCACAGCACTATTTGTTGGTGGTGCAAGAGGGATTTCAAAATACCCTTTGCACCACCAGTGGTGCAGGCCGGTGGTGCAAAGGGTACAAAAGGTATTCGATCTACATTTATTGTCTCTAAGCTATTTTGTTTGTGTATGAATTTGTTAATTAATGGTTTAAGCTGACCCAGTTTACTTAGAAACGTTGTATAATGTAGATACGAGCTATGAATATGAATTTTCTTCTTTTCGGATTGTTAAGAAGTTCTCTTTTCTCGTATTATTGCATAACGTTATTAAGAAAATGTAACTGAATATTTGAAATGTAAAATCTTTTATTTTATTTGTATCTTAGTCGTTTCCTGATCAGAAATTAAGTTAGGTAGCTTGATGTACAGTCACGGAATGAAAAGGTTCGTCAGTTTTCAAATTGATTCCTTCAACGAATCGCGAGCACATATTACCTTTTGAAACTATGTTACAGAATAATCTCGAGTTAGAGAAAATAATCTTTAACTGTTCGTCAGTAAAGTTCAAAATTATTCAGATCAAAGTTGTTTGACGATTTATCTTGTCAAGATTATTATTATGATTGCTAAACTAAAACCTTCTTGTTGGTTCAACCTGCCATTATTATTTCTTATAAAATAAAAAAACTATTGTCAATTGGTCAATGTCATCATTGCATTGCACTGATGATGGGATAGAAAAATAAACAAGCAAAACCTTATTCGTTAGCAAACGTCATATTTATTTAAATGTTAGCAGCACTGTTTCTTGCACTGTTATGTTGGCAGGTTTGACTCTTACAGTACCTAGTGCAAGCGAAAACCGACACTAAGGTGACGAACCTTTTCATTCCGCGACTGTACTTTTGTTCGTACAACGGTTTTAAGTAACGGGACAAATAAATGTTATGCTACATAAATGTTTTTGGAAATAAATGCAAGAATTATTTTAACGACTTACTTCATTGACCCACATTTTTTTACCCTTTTCTGAACACTGTACCTACTGAAGTTTGGCAATTAAACACAAAAAAATCTGCAAAAAAATTTTTATAAGTAGGTATGTACACGAATGCCCAGCGGCGTTAAGGATACCAGGAACATAAAATAAGAAAACCTGAGTTAATCACCACACACAAAATAAAACTACACAATCTGTAGTAGGTCCAGTAATAA